GGATGTGTTAAAACCGAAATATAAAATAATGAACCCCGTCCCAACCAGGCCTGTCGATTGACGGGCATATGCCCTTAATGCCCTGACATTAAGGGCTAGTTTCGCTCCAGCTCCAATGCGTCAAGTTTTAGATTCGCACCCCACCCGTGCCACTAAGTGCTTCGTTTGACCCTTCCCCGGATGCGTTAAGGGACGAAACCAGGCCTTCCCCTTTATCTAAGTTTTGGTTTCCGATCGTTGGACCCCCCCACCGTGCCAGAGACAACCACCCCGCCCCCCTCCCCCCTCTTCTCCTTAGCCTGCACGAGAGCGCGCGGAGGGAATTTTTCCCTTAGCGTTTTCTAGCCAATCTCGTGTGTGTAGTGTGTCTCAGTCAGCCTTGGAGCACCCGAACATTCCCTTAGCACGTCAAAGGAACTTAGGGCGTATTCCTCGATCTCGTGTCAAGCTGTGATTGTGTCAACCTAGAATCTTGGAACGCATGCGATTGGTTTAAAAGGTACAACTGGCCAATCAGGTGCGCTCCATAGTTATGGGTTGACACCAACTGGTTCTTGACACAAAGTCAGGAATACGCCCTGAAGCACTCTAGCGTAGCAGCTCTCTCACTTAACCAAATACAATGTAAGTGCAAACTTCGCACATGCCCGGATTTCAAGTTTTCACTTTGGGGTGCGCCCGTGCCCGTTAAGGGCGCCAAAACGCTCACCTACACCCAACCAAGGGTCAGATGGGGAGGAGCTGGGGAGCGCAAGTACGAGCCCCAGGAACTTCGACAGGCCTGGTCCCAACTTGAAAAGTGAAGCGAAACGCAAACGAGCCGGGCCGTCAAAAACACTGTTTTTAACCTTTTGAGCGTGCAGATCGAACCCACGTGATTGGCTCCCGCCAAAAACGAAAAAAGTTGGCTCTCACACGAGGAGTCGCCTTCAACGTGTTGCACCTGCATGACGGCTGCATGGCGATCGTTTCGATCGTCAGGCCCAACTTCAACTTCAAGTTGTCTGGGGTTCATTACTACTTCCCATTGTCGACGCCTCTTATTTTGCCTAGCCTAGAATAGCTCGAAACTAGCGATTTTGCCTAGGCAGGTACCAACTAATTCGGTTGTGTGATCTATGCTGGCCTAGTGGCGAAGTCCTCTTTAGCCTCTCGCACAATCGTGGTATGTTCGTGTTACAGTCGGCCCCTTTTGCTCTCCACTCTCGCGCTTGTCTTGAAACGCGATCATGTCGCCCAGCCCGTTTCTCCCCACCCTCCTCGTCGCCTCCGCGCTCTCCCCTCCCATCCCGTCGCCCTCGTGCCTTCCTTCCCGCTCCCGCGCGTTCGTACTCGCCCATCCCGTCCCTTCTCGTCGGCAGCGCTGCCACTCATCCCATACCTTCCTCTCTCCCTTCGCGCTCGTCTTCAATTGCCCTGTCGTCGTCCGTTCTATCTCCCTTCCGAGTGCCCAATTCATCGCCTTCGCGCTCGTCTTTAATCGCCTTCTCGTCGCCCTTCCTTTCTCATCTCCGAATGCCCAATTTGTCGCCTGCGCGATCGTCTTTAATCGACCTTCCTCTCTTCTCTCCCACGAGCCACCTCGATGCTCTTCATTGAGTCGCGCTCTCTGTAAATTGCTCTCGCTCTTCATGTGCGCCTCAAATTGCCCTCCCGTCGCCCGTTCTCCCTTCGCGTCACCCGCCTCTTCGCGCGCCTCAAATTGCCCTCCTGACACCCTTTCTATCCCCCTTCACATCACCCATCTCGTCGCCCTCCTTATCACCATTCACATTACCCACCTTGGCGCCCTCTCACTCGCTTCCAGTCGTCGTGATCGCCCTCGCGATCTCCTCTACCATCCCGTCGCCCTCCCCTTCTTCTTCGCCCTCGCCGACGCCATGTCCCATCCCTTCTCGTCGCTCTCACAATCTCTCTTCCCTTCCCGTCACTTCAGTTTCTTCCGCCCCTTCCAATCGCGCTCACGTTCTCCCCTACCTTCCCGTCTTCCTAGTGTTCTCCTATCCCCTACCGTCACCCTTCCTCTCTCCCCTGCCGTCCCATCACCTTCGTTGTCTTCGCTGCCCTTCCGTCACGTTATTCATGTACACCCTCCCGTCCCGTCGCCCCTTTGTCCTCACCCCCTTCTCTTCGCCTTCGCTGTCAACCAATCAACCGTCCTCACGGCCTTCCTCTCTCCCCATTGCAACCATTCTCGTACATATTTGGCCTGTCTGTGCGCTGGGTCTTGCTTGATTTTGCTGTGTGTGAGCAGGATTTTGCCAGATCTGGCCTGTGTGAACGTTGGATTGTGACTGTGTGTGTGCTGGATTTTGCATATGTGAAATTTGGTGAAGTTACGAGGACTCCTCCAGTGAATGCAACATTCAAGCTTGCGCCAAATGCGCACACCAAATTGGGTGAAAGTCGCCACCAATCAGATTTGTAAACAAGTTCCCAAATATTCGCCGCTCACATCGACACTCCTATGGGGTGGAAAAATAAAAACGCAGACCACTCAACTTTCCAAACGTTCAAACAAACCTGTGTTTTCAAGTGGACCCAACTAGAAGGGGGGGGTTGTTAGAATCTAGCAGCAGGAATGAATGAACTAACAGGATGCAGGAGTACAAGTAGTAAACCCTAATTGGGTTGTACCCCATATGGGCTACCCCACTACAGCCTAGACAATATGCAGTACATATAGTTTGACACACCCCCATAGGCAAAGTGGGGGAGAACAAGGGGTCACACGACCAGTCAAGAGAAGCAAAACAAGCTCAGGGTGGATCACAACGTCACCACGCATTCCGAGCACAAGCAAAGGGCCACAGGGCCAGTTCACATGCAGAGATATATATGCAGCAATAACAGTACAGTGATGGCTACCTAGCAAGAACCAGCATGCATATATATATAGATCACAGTACAAGCAGAGACTACAGCAAGTGTGGAAACGTAGGCACAAGGCCCAACAGAGTACAAAAGCGCTGATGATCACCAGACGGAAGTGCCTTGGTGAATATATCAGCAGTGTTGGCCCGAGTGGCCACGTGGCGAAGACGAAGCTGGCCTCGCTGCTGCAACTCTCGAGCCAGGAAGTAACGCAGAGCAATGTGTGCTCCAGTCTGTGCTCCTCACACAAGGCAATGGCGGCCTTGTTGTCGACGTACAGCACTGGAGGAGAACGAGGCTGCTCTCCCAAGTCAGTCAGCAGGTAGGTGAGCCAGCGTAACTCCTGTGCAGCCATGGCTGTGGCGTAGATCTCAGCCTCACAACTGGAGCTGAGAACTAAAGACGAGCGTGTAGAACGCCACGAAACTGAACCAGAGCCAAGGCTGAAGGTGTAACCCTGTGACGACCGCTGAGTAGCCTGGTCGTCAACCCAAGAAGCGTCTGAGTGCCCAGTGAGGACAACTGGGCTCGTCCCTCCAAGCACTAGCCCCATGCCTGATGTGCTGCACAAGTAGCGCAGTACCCTCTTAGCAGCAGCCATGTGCTCAGGTCGGTGCCGACCAGGAGCCACGTAGCGAGCCAGAAGACCAAGAGGGTACGCGAGGTCAGGTCGAGTGCAAGTCATCAGGTACATGAGGCAGCCGACTAGCTCTGGGTAAGGACCACTCGGCTCTACGGGCTCGTCCGAAGGTGGAGCTGAGAGCGTGTGACCTGTAGCCAGAGGAGTGGCCTGTGCTGAGGACCAGGTGAAGCCGAAGCGCTGAAGGACCTGCTGCACCATGTGTGACTGAGTCAAGGTGATGGTGCGGCGTGCTCTGTCCCGGGTGATCTGCAAGCCAAGGTAGCTGCGCAGCTCACCCAAGTCTGTGCACGTGTGTCTCTTCTGCAGCTCCGACTTCACGTGGGCGAGAGCCTCAGTGTCAGCAGTGGCAAAAACCAAGTCGTCGACGTACACGAGGATGTAGAACGGCGGCAGTGAAGTGTCGGTGCGCAGAAACAGCGACGGGTCAGCAGTAGAAGGCGCGAACCCAAGAGCCGCAAGCGTAGTCCTCAGTGTGTCGTGCCACTCACGTGGCGCCTGGCGGAGACCGTAGACCGGCCGGCGGAGGCTCCACTGGGTACCAGGAGGGAACGACCCAGTGAAGCCCGGGGGGCGGCGCAGCCAGATCTCCTCGTGCAGGCTGCCCTGCAAGAAAGCTGTGCTGAAGTCAAGAGAGTGAAGCTCGTAGTCACGGTGAGCAGCAACGTGCAGCAGCACCCGAAGAGTGGTCATCTTCGGGGTGGGGGAGAAGGTCTGGAAGAAGTCAACTCCCTCTCGCTGACTGAAGCCTCGAGCAACGTAACGAGCCTTGAAGACAGGTGGAGAACCTGGCGGCCGCTTCACCCTGAAAATCCACATGCCACTGACGATGTTCGCCCCAGGAGGGGGAACCTCGTCGACGTAAGTGCCAGTGGACTTCCAGGATGCCATCTCTGCGTCCATGGCTGTCTGCCACTGAGAGGAGTACTCACCCGCGATCACCTCAGCGTAAGAGCGCGGAGTCGGGATGTCTGGTGCATCCGGGTCTCCTTCAGGGGCAAGCAGCATGGCAACGAGATGAGGCGCAGCGGCTGCAAGACACTCAAGGTCCTCGTGCCTGTCCTCAAGGACGTCCGTGCTAAGAGCACACTCACCCCCGACGGACGGAGGACAGACAGACTCAGACTCAGTAACAAGACTGGCAGCGAAGTCTAGACGACAGGCAGCAGCAAAGTCAACAAGCTCAGCGACAAGAGCAGACGCAGCAGCAGACTCAAACGACGGGTCAGTGACAACTGTGGCTAGTAGACGCGTGACAGTAGGGTGCTCAGCACGAAACCGGTCAGACGCAGGGTCCGGAACGTCAGGCAAAGAGGACGCAGGAGGAGACGGCAGAGGAACAGGCTGCGGAGCAGAGGAAGGACGACGGACTACGAGGTGTGCGCTGGGGACAGCCGGCTGACGCGAACGAGGAACACGACGACCGGTACGACTAGGACGAACAGGCGAAACAGGACGCGACGCAGGCTCACGACGCTCAGCAGGACTACCAGTCTGCACAGTGTAAGGAGAAGGAGCAGGCAGCGGTGAGCCAGGCTGTAACGGAAGACCAGTAGACGACGGGAGAGTAAGAACCTGACGAAGAACAGAGTCAGACGGCGGCAGAGACGACGGAGACGGCGGAGCGAAGAACCGTCGTGTCGGCGCAGCTGCACCAGGACCGGCAGCTCCAGCAGCTCCAGTGCCTCCAGCAGCTCCAGTACCTCCAGCAGCTCCAGTACCTCCAGCAGCTCCAGAAGCTCCAGTCCCAGAGCCGACACCTCCAGTCCCAGGGTCTCCAACCTCTGTGTCTCCAGCAGCAGCACCCCCAGAACCAGCACCTCCAGTCCCAGGGTCTCCAGCCTCAGTATCTCCAGCAGCAGCACCCCCAGAGCCAGCACCTCCAGTCCCAGGGTCTCCAGCCTCAGTGTCTCCAGTACGAGCACCTCCAGAACCAGCGACTCCAGCACCTCCAGTAGACAAAGGACCAGCACCACTCCTAGCTCCAGCAGCGCGACGCTGACGGCGACCGTACCAGTCCTGCAGCTGCTGTGGGGTGAGAGGCACACGTGGACGAAGGCAGCTACTCCAAGGAGACCGCGCAACAGCAGACTCAGAACCCTCAGCGCCCGCACCCCCAACGGCTCCAGAACCTCCGGTGTCAGTACCCTCAGCACCAGTACCTCCAGCGGCTCCAGAACCTCCAGCGCGAGCACCCTCAGCAGCTCCAGAACCTCCAGCTCCAGCGCCACCAGTACTAGGCCCTCCAGCAGCTCCCGAACCTCCAGCGCCAGCACCCTCAGTAGCTCCAGAACCTCCAGCGTCAGTACCGCCAAGCTCAGCACCCCCAGACCCCTCACACTCAGGCTCAGCACCACCAAGCTCCACACCCTCAAGCTCCGCACCCGCAGGCTCAGCACCCCCAGGCTCCGCACCCCCAGGCTCAGCACCCCCAGAAGGAGCACCCCGAGCAGGACCACTCTCAGTAGGACCTGAGTCACCAGTGACCTCAACCGGCGCAGTCAAGGGAGGAGGGTCTACCTGAGAAACACCTGAAGGAGCAGGACCTGGAGCGGGGAGGGGGTCTACCTGGGGAGCACCTGGAGCGAGGAAGAGCGGCGGGGGGGGGGGAGCGGGGCAGTGCGGTAGGGGAAGAGACGGTAAAAGGGAACCGACTCGTCGAACGTGACGTCCTGAGACGCAAAGACACGGCGCGAGGTGGGGTGGTAAAACTGCCAACCAGGCGCGTCAGGGACAAAGCCAAGGAAGACACAGGGAACAGCGCGGGCGGAGAGCTTGTCCGCGGTGGTATCGCGGACAAAGGTACGAGCACCCCAGACCCGGAAACGCGACGCATCACCAACCTTCCCCGTCCACAGCAGTGTGGGCGAGGTCTCCGGCAAGGAGACACGGGGCCAGAGGTTGAGCTGATGCGCGGCGTACCGGACCGCAAACGGCCACAGGAAATGGGGGGCAGCCGCATGGATCATGGAGGTACGAGCGACCTCCATGACTAAGCCAATGCGGCGCTCAGCAACCCCATTCTTCTGTGGAGAGGCCGGAAGCATGAACGACTGGGTGATGCCGTGCTCCGCACAGTAGGCTGCCAAGAGGTCAGAGGAGAACTCACCACCTCTGTCAGAGTGGAGACGCAGGACAGGAAAGTCCCGCCGGAATCGCTCGCGGAGCTGGAGACGAACAGTGCGGATCCAAGGGATCAAAACATCAGGGACGTCCCCCTTGCTCTGCAAGGGGAAGACCGTGGTGTAACGCGTGTAGTCGTCGACGACCAGCAGGAAGTACCGCTCGCGGCCCTGCCCCTGGACGCGGGCTGGGCCCCACACGTCCAGGTGGAGCGTCTGCAGTGGAGCCTCTGTGGGAGGAAACGAGGAGGAGTGAGGAGCGGCGCGCTGCCGCCCCTCGACGCAAGGAATGCAGGGCGGCGCAGGCGAGGGAGGGAGGGCAGGCAGAGACCTGGGAAGACCAGAGACCAGGGAGCGAGAGTGCATGCTACGCAGGCGAGGCAAGGAGGGGTGACCAAGGCGGTGGTGCCACAGGAGAGTGTCGTGCGACAAAGCGCGACACTCGCAGGGGGCCGCCAGCTGACCAGACGTAGACGCAGACGCAGCTACCTGAGGGGACTCAGTAGTCAGTGTGTACAGACTCGAGCCAGGTGCACGGGTGAACGTGGCCAAGTGCCGGCCCGTCCTAGCACACGTGCAGTGAGTCACTCGCTGACTCGCAGGAGTGAACTGGTCAACCCCGTGATCCTGGAGGTCAGCTCCACTCACCAAGTTCGTAGAGAACGAGGGGAGGTAAAGACCTGACAGGAAGCCAGACGGGACGGCCGGACACGGCAGAACCGTGGAGTAGTGGGCAAGGACTGGACCCCCAGAGGGGTCCGCCAGGGAGACCGGAACTGGCCGACTGAGCGGCGTGAGTGTGGTGCAGTCGCGAAAGAAAGAGCGAGAAGCTCCTGAGTCAAGGGTGAAGGTGTGCAAGACCGCAGCAGGCGCAGTACCAGAAAGAGCAAACTCACCAGCACCTAGAGCAGCAGTCTCACCAGCACCTAGAGCAGGAGACGCACGAGCACCTAGAGCAGCAGCCTCACCAGTACCGAGAGCAGCAGGCGCTATACCAGGGTCAGGCGGGACGCACAGGTAACAGGCACGGTCGACACTAGTAGGCAATGCATACATGGCAGTGAGAATAGCATCATAGTCAAGTGCAAAGATATCTACCCTCTGTCCAAGCAGCTCCGGCCAGGTAGGGAGCTCAGCCTCGTCTCCAAACACGGTACGCCAGGCGTCGCTCAGACGGGCGAAGCAGCGGGACTGTGTGTGACCAAGCGTTCCGGAAGGCTGACCAGTCCTAACACCTGTGCGAATGACGTACGGGCAGCGAACGGTACGCGTAGACCTGCTACACTGAGTGTACCACTCCTGGAGCTGCCGGGGCGTAAGTGTCTCGCGAGGACGCCCCTGCAGCTGCAGCTGGCCACTGCTAGACGCTCCCAACTGACCAGCTCCAGGGCGACTGCTACGACGGCCACCTCGACAGCCCCAAACCCTATACCACTCATCAAGCTGCTGGGGCGTGAGAGACACGCAGGAACGATGCTGTAGCTGCATCTGGCCACCTGCTAATAGCAGGAGTAGTAGCAGTAGCGCGGGCAGGGCAGGCGCGACAGGCAGGCAGGCAAGCAGGCAGGCAGGCAGGCCGACAGGCAGGCAGGCAGGCAGGCAGACAAGCCGGCAGGCAGGCAGGCAGACAGGCCGGCAGGCAGGCAGGCAGACAGGCCGGCAGGCAGACAGGCAGGCAGGCAAGCAGGCAGGCAGGCAGGCCGGCAGGCAGGCAGGCAGGCAGGCAGACAGGCAGGCAGGCAGGCAGACAGGCAGGCCGGCAGGCAGGCAGGCAGGCAGGCAGACAGGCAGGCCTGCAGGCAGGCAGGCAGGTGCTCACCAAAGGCTGGAAGAGCAGGCGCTCGCCGGGCGAGCAGGGTCGGCGCTCGACGGGCGGCGGCCGAGTAGGCGCACGACAGTGGCGACGTCGGGGCCGCAACAACGGCTGCAGAGTAGGGCCGCGGCAGCTGCAGGGCGGGACCGCTTCAGCGGCAGTCGCAGGGTGGGGCCGCGTCAGCGGCAGGTCGGGGTCGCGGCAGCTGTAGGGCGGGGCCGCATCAGCGGCAGGTCGGGGCCGTGGCAGCTGCAGGGCGGGGCCGCATCAGCGGCAGGTCGGGGCCGAGGCAGAGGGCCGCGCGCGGCTCGGCGCGGGCTGCGCTGACAGCGCGCTGGGCTGCTGCAGGCCGCGCGCGGGCATGGGGCTAGTGCTTGGAGGGACGAGCCCAGTTGTCCTCACTGGGCACTCAGACGCTTCTTGGGTTGACGACCTGGCTACTCAGCGGTCGTCACAGGGTTACACCTTCAGCCTTGGCTCTGGTTCAGTTTCGTGGCGTTCTACACGCTCGTCTTTAGTTCTCAGCTCCAGTTGTGAGGCTGAGATCTACGCCACAGCCATGGCTGCACAGGAGTTACGCTGGCTCACCTACCTGCTGACTGACTTGGGAGAGCAGCCTCGTTCTCCTCCAGTGCTGTACGTCGACAACAAGGCCGCCATTGCCTTGTGTGAGGAGCACAGACTGGAGCACAGAACGAAGCACATTGCTCAGCAGCGAGGCCAGCTTCGTCTTCGCCACGTGGCCACTCGGGCCAACACTGCTGATATATTCACCAAGGCACTTCCGTCTGGTGATCATCAGCGCTTTTGTACTCTGTTGGGCCTTGTGCCTACGTTTCCACACTTGCTGTAGTCTCTGCTTGTACTGTGATCTATATATATACCTGCATGCTGGCTCTTGCTAGGTAGCCATCATTGTACTGTTATTGCTGCATATATATCTCTGCATGTGAACTGACCTTGTGGCCCTTTGCTTGTGCTCAGAATGCGTGGTGACGTTGTGATCCACCCTGAGCTTGTTTTGCTTCTCTTGACTGGTCGTGTGACCCCTTGTTCTCCCCCACTTTGCCTATGGGGGTGTGTCAAACTGTATGTGCTGCATATTGTCTAGGCTGTAGTGGGGTAGCCCACATGGGGTACAACCAAATTAGGGTTTACTACTTGTACTCCTGCATCCTGCTAGTTCACACCATTCCTGCTGCTAGATTCTAACAGGCTGGTTTGAGGAGAGCAGATCCTCCCTTGTTAGTTCCCGTCGTGTAGCGATATGGCGTGGAGATCGTGGCTGGTGTGAGACCGAAGCGCTTGGCGATGGTGTCGGCGTACTTCTCGGCGCTGAGGTAGATTGCGTCCTCTTCTTCTCGGATGTTGAGGCCGAGGTACTGAGTGACGGTAGGCGAGACCGTGAGTGTGAGGTCTTGCTGCAGCTCCTTTTCGAACCAGGTGGTGATGCCGTCAGTTGACCCGATGTAGAGGAGATCGTCCACGTAGACGATTAGCAGGACGTAATCGTCGTTCTTCGTGAGTCGGTACATGCCTTGGTCGTGCGGGAGTTGCTTGAAGCCGATGCGAATGAGGCGAGCGTGCAGGTACTGTTGCCACAGTCGCGGAGCCTGTTTGATGCCGTAGAGCGACTTGAGCAGCTGGCAGACTTGGTTGGGCTCTCCGTAGGAGCCGTGCGGTAGCTCAACGAAGATTTCTGCATCCACAGGTGCGTAAAGAAACGCGTTCGCGACGTCGATTTGCCGCAGTTTCTTCTTCTTCATGGCGGCGATCGCGAGGAGAATTCGTAGCGAGGTGTGGCGGCTGACCGGAGCAAAGGTTTCGGTGAAGTCGCGCCCGTGCTCTTGGTCGAAGCCGCGTACGACCCAGCGTGCTTTGAACTTGTCGATGGTGCCGTCTGCTTTCGTCTTCACTAGGAAGACCCATTTTCCGGTGAGTATAGTCTTGTTTCGTGCTACGCCGATAGGGACGACCTTCCAGGTGTTGCGTTCCTCTAAGGCCTTCAGCTCCCTGTCCATGGCTTCGCGCCATTTTTCCCTGTGCTCCCCCCCCAGAGCCTGCTGAACCGTCGCAGGCTCCCTAGGAATGTCGGCGCCGTGGACTGCGGTGACGAGTCCAAGGATTTGGAGTCCACTCTGTGTGTAGCGGGGGAGTGTGGTGTCCTCGGGATAGACTGCTTCGTCTCCAGCTTCTGGATCAGGTGCGAAATTGGGCCCTACACGTTCTGCTTCGTTGGTGTTGACTTGTTCGGGTGTAACGTAACCGTCGTCGGCGAACTTGTAGAAGACTTCGGCGTTGATGCTTTCGCGAGGGTTGTCGTCGTCCATTGGTACGTCTACCCAGCAGTACGGTAGTGGTCCGGCTTCTTCCGAGGCTCCGTCCACATTCTGCTCGTCCCAGTCAGCTTCGTCTTCTGCCGAGGCGAAGGCTCGGGTGCCAGTGAATCCGCCCGAGGGGTCAGGTCTGTTGGCTCTTACGTAGGCAAGGTGAACGTCGAGGGTGAGGTTCTCGTAGAAAAGGACATCACGTGCCGCGACTGTTTCTTTACTGTTGATGTCGAAGATTTTCCACGCGTTGTAGTGTTTTTCGATGCCCAGGTGTACTCCCCACTGTGCTCGTTGGGAGAATCGACCGGCGCGTGCAGATGGTGGTCGGTACTGTACCATGCACCCGAAAACTCGTAACATTTTTGTGCTGCCCAATTTTCCTGTCCACAGCAGATGCGGTGATGCGTTGTTCGGGAGCGATGATGACGAGAGCAAGTTGTGCAGCATGACGGCGTGGTCCATTGCTTCGGGCCACTGGTGGTTGGGCAGATGCATGCCACGCAGCAGCTTGCGCATGGTGGCTTGGAGTGTCCTGTTCATCCTCTCTGCTACACCTTGCTGTTGATGGGCGTAGGGAAGGGAGATGAGTCGCTTGATTCCCTTCTCTGCCAAGTAGTCCTTGAACCTCTGTGAGGTGTATTCTCCTCCTCCGTCTGACTGAAAGCTTTTTAGTTTCACGCCCGATTCTCTCTCTGCTGCAGGAAGCCAGGTGACGAACGCTTCGA